CAGTACATTCAGTGAATTCTGATTTCAAAACCTGCTTTTCATAATTGATTCATGTTAGGGAGAAGTAGCAGCCCACCACAGCAGTAATGAAACTTAATTTAGTGCTTTTGCAAACCATGTAGCCTGTAAAAAACAATATCACTATGCAAGAAAAGTTCCCTGTACCCATTAGCACAGAGCACACACAACCCCAAGTAGACTTGAAACCACTGACTGAATATAGAAGCTGTCACATGGGCAAAGGTCTAGAATTTCATTGATTGAATGGAGGTGCTATATTTAATGGAAAGGCTGTCAAACCCATCTTGATTTTCTTTTATCAGTTCCCTGAAAAAACAATATGTTGCTGGACCGCAGAAGTTTCATTTCATATCAGCCTGGGGGAAAAAAAAATAGCAGATACCCTATTGAAGGCTATCATCAAGGGCAATTTTAACACAGTCTAGACATTTACCTCTGGATGTGCAGTCCAGCAAATCCATGATGACAGAGTCCGCGCCTTTAGTATACAAAACTACCTCCTCGGTGACTGGGTGCCTGACCAGCACAGACATCCTCTTTCTGGTGGAGTCGAAGGCCAGCGTATGCAGGACTTCAAAAGTGAGGATGGTGCCCTGAGGCAGTTTGACGATCACCTGGTCAGGGGTCCGAGAAAGCAAGGTGAAGCCATAGGCCTTGGCGGCGTACACTAACGCTGCTTCATCTGGGCTCTCGGCCTCGTAGCACAGGTCTCCTACGTCTCTCTCCGCAGGTCTGTCTCTTGCCATCACTGCATCCACTTCTCCCCTGCCGTCTTCGCTAGCTCTGCTGCTCAGGCCACTGTCTCTCGAGCTGGCAGAGCCGCTAGAGCTTCTGTCTTCAACCCCGATGTCCTCATTCACTGAAGCCCCAGAACTCGAGGGACTGACCTTGTTCGTCCCACTGCTTTTTCCTGACAGGGACTGGAGGGAGGCTATGACTTGACTTAACCGCTCTGATTTTAGTTTCTTCAGGAAGCTTTGCAATGCCTCGAGGGAGCTCAGGGAAGGTGTTTTTTTGAGTGGACCATTTACCTGCAGATATAAAGGTGCTCATATTATTCCAAATTAAAGGAGAATTAGAAAAGGATGACTAATACTGACAATGTGGCACTGGATAAATATAATGTGTTCTCTGAGGCTTAGAAAAAATCCTCAGTTATGAAGCATTTTTAAGTTTCAGTGTAGTTTTATGTACCAACACCTGGAAAATAAAGTAAATTGGGTGAAAGAGCAGATGCAGATAATTCATCCATCAACTTTCTAACCACTTAGACAAGTGTTTCTTAACACACAGTATAGACACAGACATACACACACACTAGGACCAATTTTTACTGAAGTCAATCAACATACTGTACCACTATGTTTGTAGACTGTAGGAGGAAACCAGAGAACTCAGAGGATAACCACGAGAATACAGGGAGAACATACAAACTCCATACAAACGCACCCCAGGGCCCCAGAGCTGCAAGGTTAACCACTGAACCACAGTGCTGCTCGGTGCAGATCTTCATATAAACTAACTGCATTTTATAAAGTTAAACAATCAATATTTAACCTGTCTATAAATTAGAGTGATTGTACCATCAATATGGAGATTTGCTAATCACCTTTCATAAAGAAGTTTTTAAAGTTGTGAAATTTGGAGATTTAATGAAGAAATAGCAAAAAGGTGTGCAGGTTACTGGACAGGACAAAAACTTTTAATAATGTTACCACAAAACTAAAGAATATTAATAAGAGTGGCCCCTCAAGGATCCTAGGTCCAGTGATGCTTTCAATTTGTCTAAACTGCCGGGAAAGCAGTGTGATGTGCACAGGTATGAAGTATACATACTGTAAATGTATACAACATTTACCATCCTTGTGAGTTTTTGGGTTATAATAATTTGACACAATTTAAACAAATAAAAATAAAGTTGACACAAAAATTAGGATGAAACTCAGAAAAGATGAAAGTATCCTTTTTCGCTTCTTTTCATAATTAGACAGCACTGAACCACTTGCAATAAAGACAGTGATATATCATTACAACAGATGAATGAATTTACCTAACTAAGGCTGTGATTAGGTCCTTACTTATCATGTAGCAATCATAGTAATTATATATTGGCTAAAGTTGGATTTATATTTAGGGTGTTGCACTTCATTCTTAGATTTAGGGCTGGGATTAGAAAGAAAGTTCTGAAATGGTATGTCTTTTGAATTATAGGAATGTAGTATATAATTTGATTATATATAGAAAGTTATGCAAATACGTTTTAACCTGTGATTATCATCATTCTAATCTATATAAAATGTTGAATTGCCTGAAACACAGGTTATTGGTAATATATAATTTATTTTTACATTTTAAATATGTACATGAAAATGCTGCAGATTAATCTTGTTTTTTAAGATTTAGTTATGCATATGGCCTACATTATTAAAACATGAAGCAGAAAAGTGACTATGGAAATTCTGCCCAGAGTTAATTAAATAGGTTACCAAACTTTATCTAAAATTTTTTGATGTACGTGTTATATTTATATAATCTGTGAAAGACTAAAGTGCCTACATTTTCACATTTTGTAACATATGTATGCTGTCAATCCTCAGGACTTTGATGAAAATCAATAAATTGCATAAATCCCGTTCTAGTAAAATTTGCAAAACTATGCAATTGGTAAGAAACTTAAAATCCACTCTTTGGAGATGTTTTCTGCTGGCAACTGTGACTGCACAAATTTGCTTGAAGATTCTCACCTTAAGTCCTGATATACTCCGGCTACTTACAGTATTTATCACTTTAAATTTCTCTACTCAGTAAGAATAAACAGAAGAAAGCTCCACATATGTATGTTTAATTTTTTCTTTCTACATTTCAGCATTGGCTCAACCTCTGCTTGTTCCCTTGCAGTTTGCATGCTGACACAGCACCCTTTTCAAAGCTTATGAAATAAATCATGCAAGAGACTTAAAACAATCTGGCACTAGTAATATAATTTAATAAACTAAATGGTTTGTGTGGTTAGGAGAAGAAGTTTATTTAATACCAACTCTAATCATCTACTGTCTTGGAATGATCTAATGTCATTGCCTTGTGATTGGTAGGCAACTATTTTAAAATCTTAAATGGACTCATATTCATGTCAGTGACTTTTTCTTTAAACTGCAGCTCTTTCTGAAATGCCAAATGCCTTTTATTACAGCAATTTATAAATTAAATAACAAAACAATTTTCTGTCTTTTTCTTCCCTATGACTCCAATAAATGATACACAATCATCGTGGTCTCTGTCTTCATTAACATTTCAGACATGACCTGAATACACTTGCTGATAGCACAAGTACTGAACTTCAACGAAGATATGAAGATGAGCTCATTATATGATCGCTAATTTTTTTTTTAAATGTAGCAGCTAGACTTAAGGTGAAAAAACTCAACTCAGGTCTCTCATCTGACAGAATCGACATTATTAGTTCTCGACTGCGATAGCCACAAATTTTTATCAGTTAGTGTATAGTCAGTCAGTTTTTGACTGGGTAGATAATTCAAGTGAAAACTGAAAACACTGTTATTATACTGTAGCTCTGCAACAGCCTACCAAAGCATGAACCAAACTGTAAGATATACTATACAGTATGTCACTGTTCTGTACACATAAAGTCAAAGTAAGGTATTGATAAAAATATGGTTCTGTGCTAAAATAATGTTTTTTACAAGGGAAAATAATTTTTGAAATCTTAAGCCTGATCAGAACTTGAGCAGTGCAATTCTGATTATCTTAATTTTAGATTTGATTAAACTGATGCAATGCAATCATGAATGAACTATAATCAAAGTAATAAGATTGACTGTAATTATTTCCTAAGCTTTGGACGCTGTCAGAATTAAGTGGATGGGATCAAATGATCCTTGGCATTAATTAATTTCATGTACAACCTAGATAAGTGTAATCAGTGAACATTAGCTAGGACCTACACTGGGTCATCAATTGCCTGGCAAAGCTTTCTGCATATGCATTTGAAAATTAATAATAATATGTGTTTGACAAGTATTTGTCCCACTTAAAACTGAGCCAAATAAAAACATTAAAAGGTAGAAGAGCTCTCAAAATGTTTATCATAATAAAATATACGAATGGCCTGTTGCTATTTTCCTAGATAAAGGTGTTTATATGATTTGCTTTTATGTATCATTTTTTAACATTGTTCTTTGACTCCTTCAGCAAGGCAGCCTGCATATCTGAATTTTTCTCTTCAATGCAGCCATACAGCCCTGAATCATGAAGTATGTCTTAGTATGTCTCATCATAAGCACATGGTGGGGGGTGAACACTCACAAAAAAAAATAATTTCTGAAGAAATGATCTGATGATTGTACTGGGATCAACTTGGAATGAGCTGTACTCACAAAAGCAATTTCTTAGGATTACCACAATTCTTTAGTGCAAAGTAAAGCCCACAGCCCATACTCAATCCTTGAGGCTCATGAGGTCAGAGCTTATCCTGGTTTCTGTAGCATTAAGTAGACTGAGAGTACGTGACTCCCCCTTGAATAAGACGCTAGGATGTTGAAGGATAAGCCCAGGCAATGCTGGTTTATGTTTGTGTAGCAGAGTGGACTTGAGAGTTGCTCAAGATCTATTCTCAGGGATACACCAGCCTTCAGCAGGGACTCCAACCCACAACCTTCAAGTCGACAGTGATAATCATTACTCTACAGCGTATGTGTTAAATTGATCTGACTAATTCTCAAGTTCAAGAAAAGAGGGGCTTGTTGTTGCATACAGAAGCTCTCCTATGGAATTTGGATTGGAAGGGCTGCAAGATGAGTAGCTGTGTTTAGGGTGTGCATGAGTAATTACTCACCCTGCGTCTTGGTACTGTTCCTGTAGAAACCACCACTGTGTTACAGATGGCCAATGCCAGGAAAAAGTCAAAGTAGGAGGCGCTGTCAGAGCTGTGACCATGTTTGCACCATGCCTCCATTTGGCTGTCTGTCTCCCATACAATCTTCAACAGCTTCCTGTCAGGGATGACATCCTTTTCCTGTAGGGAAAAAGCTATCAGAAGTGAATGTGTGCTCTCAGTGTGGAATGTGTAACGTACTGTATGCACAGTATAAACCAAAACAGTTTTATTTTGATTTTGTGGAATCATCAAAATAAGTCCTATAAGGACATTGTCTTAATGTGATGTTTTAATGAAGGCATTACAATTAAAAACAACCAGGTAAAAATGATGCAAGAAAACCATAAACATTTCATAGTCACAGTCACCTAGTCAGCATGAGGGCAAAAAGTCATAGGTCAATTTTCAGGATAAATAGACTCTATTCTAAAGGCAGTTTTAAAGGGATGAGAGGCGAGATTTTTCATCATGTTGTTTTTTACTTTAAAAGATATAAGACAGTGACATAATAGATAAACAGAATTATAGATTAAACTGAGCCAGAGAATCAAAACAGTGATAAATGGGTCTTTCAATTATATGAAATGGGATTTTTTTTCTAAGTTTGCCATTCACCCACAAAGATTTTAATACCACCTTCCTCATCAACATTTCTTCCTAACACCCTTCCAATAATTGTCTCCTTTCAAATTACATACCGTAATTCTTAACAAAGCCATTATGGATTTTTTTTAAGACGAAGGATTACGAAAGTAAAAGAGGGCTGCAATTTTTCTTTAGGTCAACATTTTTTTTTACTTTTCTCCATTGTAACAAGACTGCCCTCGGACTGACAGATAAAATTCCACCGGGTCTAGTTTTCTTATTATTTGCTCCATTAATCTGTTGAGTACAGATGTTGGCAATTTATTTTATTCATGTTGCCTCCTGCTGTCACAGCTGTTTGATAAATTGTGCCAAGGCGACATCACATGGGATTAGAGAACAGGTGGAATGGAGTGCAGTACAATGGAGAGCAAGCCAGAGTACAAACCCTTTTGAGCAGACGCTTACAGACAGAAGATGCCCCCAAATCAAAAACTGCACTGTGTGACACGTGTACTAGGTTTTATTCAGTGATACTGGATTGCTCCCTTTGCTCAAGTACAGCCCAGTGATAATTGGAATTTAAGGCGTATTACTCACACTATGAACAAACCAAGTTAGAAGGGTCACCAACATACTTTTGTGGAATTACAGTTAATTAAGATACAGATTGTGTCTTAGAAAAACAAAGCTTCGAAGATGGCAATTCAACATGTTATCACACTGAAAAACACAGTAAAAGAGTGCACTTTATCAGGCGCATGCCATTTTTATATTTCTTCTACATCTTCAAGAAAGTGTGGTACTATTATGATGTGCTATCGAAGAAAAAACAACAAAGTAATTAAATTTAGAGGGTTATGAAGAACTACTGTTTACTTGCCAGACTAAATGATTAATTACATTGTTTAACACGAAATTGTCTACAGACACCGACAGTGATGAAGAAGAAAATGAGAGAGACAAGACGCATTGTTTGATGTGTACTGAATTTCTAGTCAGATTTTTGAATTAATTGAATTCAACTTTATTGCCTCTAAGGGAATTTGTCTTGCACATCCAGAGCACATAATATATATTACAATAATACGATAAACGAACCTCAAGAACTTCCTATTTATTTTCAGAAGCTTTCAGCTAAAACAGCAGAGGGAGACCATATAAAGCCATATAAAGCCAATGTGAACATAAAATGGTACTAAATACAGTAGACCACAACATTTTTTACTTTAGATACAGCACTTTAAGAAACAGATTTGAATGTACTGCAACTATTTTGTTTTGTCTTTACACCCTAGAAATAATAACTAGGGTACCAGTGAACTAAAGAACTAAATACCAGTGAACTGGATGTTAAACCCTTTATGGGAAGTTGGGCATTTAAAGTCCTGCCAGTTGCAAAAGTCTATGAACTCTGGGCTTCAAAGAGCAGGAAGGGAAGGTTTGTCAGTGAACAATGACATTAGACTGTATAATAGAGGTGGGCACATGCCCTAGCTAATCTCCCAAAGAGCTAGATGTGAATAGTGGCCAACCATATATGAGCACTTCTTATGTTACTATACACACAAACATAACTTCAGGGCATATAAGCTTAAGTGAAATAGCTCTTTCCTTGGGAACTAGAACACAGTTGCACAACTGCACAGATTTGTTTCTATCACAGTCACAAGGTTGCATTCAGAGTTTCTTTAGCACCTACCCTCAGACACATGCATATAGAAAGATGACTATTCATAGCAGAGAAGCTGCCATGACAATAACACATTTGTTATCTTTGTGGTAACTGACTGTAATGACGGATCAATGGAATGCGTTTTGTTTCCTCAGCATGCCCATATGGCAAACAAAAGCTTGCAGCCATCTTTATTGGTGGCAGAAAAAGTGCTAGACCATATGGAGGCCAGTCTGAATGGATCAGTATCAGGAAGAGTGCTCCACTGTCAGCACACCCAGGACATTGTTACTCTGGCACAGGCTAGTTGTTTCGACAAACCCTGGACAGAACAGAAGCTCGGCAGGCTGGGTAGCAGTTGTCTGCAGTGCTTTAAATGGCCAGAATGTGGAAATGGTACACTTTTCCTCTCCTGCTGGACAGTGACAACATCAAGCTGTCACCCCCTAGCACTCAAAGCCTCTTTTTTCAGCCTTTCAAACAGGTGCTCTGCCTGTCTCAAAAAACAAAAACGGCACAACGCAGCCTAGGCAGCACCGATCCAACCTGGAGATCAAATCTGTGCAGCATTTTCTTTCCAACAGTTTCCACAGTTACAAGGAGTATTTTAATGTTGCAAAAAACCTTTGACATTTTTTACTTGTGAGACATACTGCGATCAGAAAAACTGTATGTACCAATAATTTGTAGAGAACAGATGGGCGTTTTCACCTGATGCTGCCTGGGCCTGATTTGCTGTTTTGTTCTCATAATTACATTAAATACACTCTCTGCTTTATATGAATAAGAAATAATTTTACTGATTTCACCTCTGACCAGTGCAAATCCATCAGAAATATGCACCTTATAGTTTGAATGACAGAAGGATAGAAAAATGTGGGGCAGTCCTGTTAGAATCAATATACTGTGTCTCAAACCCCCCCAAAATCCTACAAATCTTTCTTGTTTTTGAATAAAATTGAGGTTAATGATCATAAAGTTCAAGCTTGCTTTCTGCCTTGCCAGAAGACATAACGTTTCCAAAAACTAAACAAAGACCCATATACAGTGCATAGGGAATCTTTTGGTTTGTGTAACCGAACTTATCCCTGTAGCCAAATGTCATTGCAATCAGTCAGTGTTTTCTGCTTCATAGCCACAATGTAATCAGCTTAGCCAGATAAATGCCCAACAGCCAGGGCATCCCACCAGACAGATACAAACAGCATTTTCCTGTTTCCCTGCTCTCCTGTCAGACTAACCTCGTGCATTTTTTTAATCCATTTTCCAACACTGCAATTTTCAAAAAGAAAACAGAAGAAGACAAGGTTGCCATTTCAGTGCCCTGTAGAAGAAAGTAACATCTCTGTTCTACAAGTACAATTTGAATCACAGCAACAAGCTAAGGGCATGGAAAGATTGTAAATTTTGCCTCCTACTGTAGAACAAAAATTAAACACTTTTCTTAAAATTACTTACTGTGTGAGTTACTTGTATCACTGATGAACTAAAATTACTTGGTTAGACATTGTGATGCTTAATGCAACACACCCTCCTTGATCCAATTGTGAACAGTACAAAACATCTAATATTGATTGTGGCAACATGACACTGGTCTCTTATACCGTTTTATTAAGAGCTCTGGGTTTTAGGCAACTTTTGGTGACAAAGATATAGAACAATATGCATGTAATGGCTCATATTTTCTTGGATAGCTGCAAAAAGCATGACTTCCATTTTCCATTATTTACCTCTTAAAATGCTTAGGCTTCACTCATAAGATCTGTCAGTGTAACTTAAGATAAAGGAACATTCATATCAGCACAATCTCAGTTGAAGTGACTGTCAGAACAGTGAACACAAGTCATCAGGTCATTACCAAAACAAAAACCATTTCACAAACTATACAACAGCTTGTGTCACTTAAAACATATGTAGGCCACTTCTATCTAGAATATGCTAATATGTCCATCCATCCACTTTCTAACAGCCTTATCCAATACAGGGTTAGGGTTGGGGGGGTTCTGGAGCCTATCCTGGAAAGCAATTGGAATGAGTACGTCCTAGATAAGATGCCAGCTCATCGCAGGGCACACTCACACCAGGGCCAGTTTTCTCAGAAGTCAATTAACCTACCAGTATGTCTTTGGATTATGGGAGGAAACTGTAATTCCTGGAGGAAACCCATGCAAACATGGGCAGAACATCCAAATTCCACATAGTGTAGATAAGACGCCGGGAAATGAATCCAGGGCCTCAGCCAGCTCTGCGAGGCACCAAAGCTAACCACTGTGCTACCATGCCATCCATATGCTGATATTTTTCCTTGCTAAAATATAAGGAATCCCTAGTCAAATGAATAGAACCTTAGCATCATGCAACCTCAATGCCAATAGGTCTCTATAGAATTGAAAACCAGTAGAATTGGAGGAACATGCAACTTAGTGTTACACACCTTGATCCCTCATTACTACTTCAGCAGAAGGCGATTCTATCAGAAGAATGGGATATACATCAACTGCAATGGACTGTCAAAACCTTGTGTAATGCATGCCCACATTTTGTTCAAGGTGTTCTTTATCACAGAGGTGTAATATGTCATTCATAGGGGCATATTTTGTTCAAGTGCATAGATTTGCAAATATATAGAAGAATCACAAACTTTGCATATAGCATATACTCACAAGTGGACTGCTGAAAGCCACTTCACTGTCCATGCGCCCTGCTGACTTCCTTTTAGTTTGACCACCATAACAGGCCTTGGCACTATGCCATCTTCTAAGCCCTTTGGTGCCCTGGCTCCTGAGGTTAGGCCTGAGTCGAGACCTGACTTGTCTGTGGACATAAGACAAGTCTTCCTCATCTGAATCCAGTTCTCCATGGGCTGCAAGGCGTATTGCTATTTAAAACATAAGAAAAATTACAAATGAGAGGTCATTCAGTCTTGCTATGTCATAACTGGGGAGCACACAGACACATAAATACAATTTCTGTGTGTATTCTGGTTTGAGCTGCTGACTTCAGCATGGCTTTCAGTGGGTAACACAGTGGAAGAAATAAGAGAATTCATAAGAGGACTTTTAGTAACTGCACTACAGAGCAGTATATTGAGCTGCTTTTACTTGCATATCCCATACTAAAGAGGGGAACTATTCAGTTATGATATGTTCATTGCATTTTACAAAATACTAAATAAAAGTTAGAACAAATGTTTCAGAGATCCATTTATCATAGAACTGTGATGAAAAGGCATACTAAGGGTTCTACTTTAAGATTACATGTAAAATTTGTATAGCCTCAGTACATGATTACTTGCAATGAAAAGACAAAAAAAACAATTCTGACTTTTATTTTCTAACGTGTCTGATGAGTCATGAGTTAAAAATAAACACATGATCCATCCATTTTCTATCCACTCCTTCCAATTCAGGGGAGCTAGGGCTTATTCTGCAAGCAACAGGTGCAAAGCAGGGTACAAAGTAGACGGGATATCTGTCTGTTGCAAGGAAGAAACACAGACACAGAATTTTTCCAGGAGCCAATTTACCTACCAGTATGTCTTTGCACTGTAGGAAGAAACCAGAGGATCTGGAAAAAAAACCATGGGAACACAAGGAGAAGACCCACACTCCCCACATATAGTACCCCATGACTGGAATTGAACCCAGAACCCCAAAGCTGCAAGGCAGCAAAGCTAACCACTGTGCCTTATTCAAATAATGAAGTATTCACCATTTTCCTGATGGCAGTACTCTGTGCCCATAATGCTGCAGCGCCTGAAAACCATCTTGTTCTCCGTGAGTGTCCCTGTCTTGTCCGAGAAGAGGTATTGTATCTGCCCCAGGTCTTCGGTGATGTTGAGGGCCCGACACTGCAGGCGCTGGTCCAACTCCTCATCATAGAGGTCAATATCATTGCTAAGAAAGAAGATTTGACCCACTTTCACAAGTTCAATAGACACGTAGAGAGAGATTGGAATCAACACCTGGAATGTTAGATGGAAAAAACAGGAAAAAGCACTTAAAATATATTCAGCTGACCATGAGAATTTTGTTTACCTCTGTTGTTTCCTATTCTCTGTGAAATCGGAAGACATTTCTTCAGGAAAGCAAGAAAAGATGTACTCTGAGACTAATAAGACTTTCCCATTCATAGCCCAAAATGTAAAACATTTGATGACAATAAGTTTTGAAAAATAAGATTTTCTATACATTTCAGCTCCTCTTGTTTGAATGCTTGTGTGAATACTTTGCACAAGCAGACTAAAATGTCACAATGTGCATGAATCCTCCAGTATGCTCAGAATTTCAGAACAGAGCTGAAATGGTGATTTCATTTCAAAATAAAAATATAAATATATAAATACCATTTCCCAACAGAACTTACTTGCAGCAAAATGATCATTGTGAAGAAAATGTAGAATCCTGCCAAAGATGGTGAGATGTACTCCCCATTTATGTCTGGAATATCAAATGGAGGCTGGATCTGAAAATTCTGCAGCCACTTTGTGTGACCTGAGGATGGAGAAAAAGGCAAGATTAACTCCTGTTTCTACTTTGTTATTAAAAAACAGGTTGAGATGGGGTTGAGTTAAAATGTCATATAATTGCAATAAAGCTCTGTACTCTCTTGTGTATAGGTTATAGGTCATTAATCATAATTCAGTAACACTGTGTCAGTGCCTTACCTATTGCTCCTGTAAGGCACATAAAAAACAGAAGTCCAACACTGCACAGCACATCAGTGTTCAGTCTTCTCTCCAGCTTGCTGCGTTTGTATCTGGGACCATTGTTATTTAGCATGGCCTTGGTTTCATGACCTACAGCACCAATTAACATCATTAATCAATGATTGCGACTGTTTTTTGTTAATTGAATACTCATATAGCATTGTGTCTTTCTCTTATTTATTGTACAACAATTAATGGAATACTGTATATATTATTTAACACTTAAGTTATAATGTATACAATACAATCATATGACAATCTAGCCATCAAATGTAATCTAGAATGGCAGTAAGATGAGGCTACACACCATTATTTTCCTATATAGTGCTTTTCTGCACCTGCATCCTAGTAATTGAGTAATTTATAACAGAGTTTCTCCTGCTTCCCTTTAATGACAGCGTGGAATGAAAGTCAATCAAGGTTAATCTCATACGGCAGGTCGGAAAACTCTATTAATGATCTCAGGTGTTCAAGCAAACTCATTTTTCATGTAAATTTGAGTTAAAATCAGGATGTGCTAATTCATGAGGTGTGCTATGTTTTTGTTTTGAAATCTATATCTATAGGAAACAAAGAAAATAAATCTTGGCTTGATTTTCTTGAGAGCAGTCATGATGATTATTAAAGCCTGCAAAACTGAATAATCTTAAATGAAGGCTCTCCAATGTAGTGGTTTCTTGTTTGGTTTTCTGCCAGCGTTCACATTGAAATTTAACATTTTCACTGCAGCCCAGGTGTGAGGGAATGAGACTAAAGGCCAATGAGCATGCCTTTGATCTGAATGCCTAGTTGCATTCCGGTGTAACTGGGCGAATGTAATTGAAGAAGAGTGACAATCAACTTGAGCCCAGGAGGAGTGGTGTAAACCTTGCGCCTGACCTCACCAGGCACAGGCAGAGCGTCAACAGCTGAGGCATAGCAGTGATATGCCTCCCTTTCCATCAACAAAGCTGAAACCAACACATGGAGCCACTCACTTGACACAACTTGATTTGTCAAGAATCTCTCACCTCAAATGTTTATCAAAGCTGAGTCTTTTTCAGTGGATACAGATGAAAAGCAAGCCATCAGATTAAGCCAGGTTAAGTGGAGATCTCTTTTTGTTACACTTGTGAGGTGGGGGGGAGGGGGAGCAATAAAAGGCTGAAGAAAGGTATATTAATGATGATAACAATAATAACTTAAAATACCGGCATAGACCACGATTCCTGCAGCTTCCTCTGTGTTTCTAACGGTGCACCCACGCAACAGCAGGTTTTGCCTGCCAAAGCCAATCTTCTTCTTGTCAGGCTCATCCCTACAAATGAAAAACAACACAGCCTTTCAAAAAAAGATCTGTACTCACTTTTTATCTAAACATTAGTCACTTGTGGCCCCAGGGACCAGGTCTACAACAAAAGGCAAGTATAGCCGTAGCTGTTATATGACCCATTTCGCATGGCAACACTGTGACTAAGCCAATCTGAAATGGCAAGTAGCTGGGCACACAGTGACACATTCGCTTAAGTTCAAGCTGGACAAAATTAAAGTGGTTAAGCACCGGCAATGGTGTGCTGATGCAGTTTTACCCTAATATGACATTACACCCTCTGCAAAGCAATAAAAAAAATGAAATCTGACGCAAATGATTCTCATTTTCCTTTTGAGACAGAGTGGTACAGCAGTGAGGGCTGAAGAACACAAAAGCAGATGGAACAATAGCCATGTCAAGTGCTCTTTTTTTACTTCATATTTCTCCAGTCCTGAAAACAAGCAGTAATATACTGTATATTAAAGCAAAACACAGCTGAATTTTCCAGCAGTAGGCTGGTATTTGCTGGCTCTCATTGGAACTACTATCTATTCTCACTGCACTTTTTTGTGGTATCAAACTCTGAATTATGGATAATCTCAATCATAATATTTTTCACTGCATATGCCCAAGGGTTCTGTACCAACATGTATAGTGCTTCATACAAAGTGCAAAAATACTCATAGTGTACTATGGAGTATCCCAGAGCATTGCTCTTCCGCAGGCATTTACAGTACTCTTAAAGGTTTTAATGATAGGGTTGGTGATGAAGCCTGGGAACTGCAGCAGCACTGTGAGCCGAGTCTGAGGATTTTCCATGTCTTGTCTGTGTCATATTCACCACAGGACTGTACAGAGTAACACTTGGAAACAGAAAGGTCTATAAAAGCCTTCACACCATTACCATTAATTGGATATGGATCTCATTTGCCTATTAATTGCAAAAAGGCTTGAGATTTTTAATTTGATTCCTAATCTCATTACTACTGTTATCAGCATTCATTTATTTTCTCAATGAAAATTCACTGAATGTCAGACCAATTACAGACACAGCCCACCTTTACATACTTCTAGTTATGTTAGAAAATTCACATCTAAAGAGGTTAATTGGTATCAAATGAATTTGATTTAATGCGCATTCAAAAATTTTACATTTGGTAAAGTCAGGACCCATTAAAACACCCTAATAACCAATAACCAAACATTCCATCCTTATACTCCACTGACAAGATTTTTTTTTAACACACATAAATGCCAATATTATGCAGATACAACCTTGGGGACCAAACAGCAGTATAGCGTTTTACAATATACTTCCAAGGATTAACTGGCAAAATAATGAAAGCTGGTGGGGAGTTCCAATGGAAAAATCAACAACAAGTAAAAGAAAATATTTACAAAAACAGGGATAGGTGGTAACGAAGACCACTAATTGCGCTTCCCCCACCAACCCCCAACCCCCAACCCCCAACCCCCAACCCCCAAATAATTTACAAAGTCATTAACTAACGGATGCATCAAACCGCTTTGCGCATTGCATCTTCAAGGCTTTTCCTCATTAAGCTGACTCAACAGCAAAGTGCAATCCCTCCAAGGTCAAGATGCTTTTCTGAAGAAAGTTAATGCAAATCGAAATTCAAAGACAAATAATTGGAATTCAGATCGCAGAAGGAGAGCTTGGGGAAATGGAGCACTTTGCAGTGGCATGCTACTACAAATTCCATCCGCAGTTCATTGCGGGCTACTTGTTGAGACTGCTCACGGGCAGTGCAGCAAATGGGAAAATGTCCTCCCCCCCAAGTGCAAAAACAGATATTCAGATAATTTGCATATTTTCCATTGATCTCAATCTGCTCCTTCCTTCCTGATGTTTTGTGCCCTTCAAGGTTTTTTTTTCCGTCAGTCAGTAGCTTTATCTACTGTACATTTACCATTCATAACCACCTCCCCTCTAAAAAACCAGCTTTGCAAAGATAAAACATGAGCAAAATTATCATTTGCATATGCATTACAAACATAGAATGGACTCATTAATCTCATGTTAACAGACTGATGATGGCACAAGTATCCATTTTAAATCCCTATATATAGATCAGACAATATGAAGAGGGCCACTCATTTATCCTTTTGGACAGCTGCTGCATTTTATAGAGATCTGTTTTATCTAAACTGTTATTAGTTTGATTACAAAAGCAGATAGTATGTGAAACCTGCAAATGTTGTCCCTGAATCACAGAGAGAGAGCAAATCAAAACTAAATTAAAAAAGGACTGACAGTACTTAAGCCTAATTTAAAAACAGGTGGTGATTGAAAGGTTGCTGCATCCTGTTTAAAAAGGTTTTTTTTTGTGTGTTAAATCTGATATATTGCTGAATCTTCTTGAAGATACAGTGCCTTAGTAATCCCACCCATCCATCACACCTGGGAGGGTGTGAGAAAAACAGAACACTCAGAAAAAAAACAAGAGAGGGTGGGGAGATTCCGCAAACTCCTCACAGAAGATTCAAGAATCCAATACATGTCAGCAACTCTAGCACTTCTGCCCACTTTTGTTTCAGTTTCTGTTCAAAGGCTATTTGGGCAATAATGAGAAGCTGATCTCAAGTTCAAAGTAAATTACTTTGTTGTTTGTTGTCATGGGCACGGAGCCCTGAAGGTGTAAGAGAGAACTGTTTGATGACAATTGCTGATTATGTGTAGCTCTTTGGTTAATGTTCGTATATTGTTATGGTTGCTTGTTTGTCTTCCCCAGCCCCTTCTGTATTTCTGTGTGCTTGGATGTGTGAGAGTAGGTGATGGTGCCAGATCAGGTAGCAGTGCTGTCTAGGAGTGTAGGCAATTGTCTAGAGCCTGAACTACACCCATATAGGGTTAGGGGATTCTGGTTGCACAGAGTTTTCAGGACTTGGCCTGGCAGAAACTAACAGGTTCAGTTCCTCCTGGTGTGAAAAGACCCTCTCCACCAGATGTCAGTGGCGGGGGTAAATAATAAGCTACAAATAAAATAGAAGGGCACTGTACAGTATACAGTGATACTAGACTGTACTATATATAGAGAGATACAAGCCCCTTTTGGCACTTCTGGAGATAACAAGGCTAGGTCTTTGCAGACAATGGTTATTTTGATTACTTGTGTTTGAATTTAATTAGTTCAAGGGGCACATCTAATGGGAAAGCAAATGTTTGAATTATTCTTCACAATCAATTAGTAAAACAGTATTCTTCTAAAGTGGAGTCCTTATCAAGAAAACATACAGCCCCTGTGAGTGAGATGAAATGTAAAGGGTATTTTTCACCATGCCATCTACTTACAGATAACCTTTGAAGCAGTTGAGTTTACTGTTGGGCTTCTCACAGATGACAATGCTGGCGAAATGTTCAGGTTCAAATCTAGAGTTCTGAAACACAAACATCCATAGTCAAAATGGCATCTTTTTAAAATATTAGGAAACCAGTCTCTGTTTAAAAGTAAATTGTTAGTCTGCTCATGTATATATTTTTAAAACATATATCTAATCCATAGGAAGTGAAACATCTTAAATTTAAAGTTTTCAAAGATTAATTTATCATTTAACTAGTAGTTACTATTTAGGCACAATATTTGCACTTCAAAAAAGAGTTACATTTTTTCTCAAAATCAAAATAAGCTTTTACCTCACTCAGTAACCAAATATGCAGAAAAACAGGATAGACAGAACACCAGACGTGCTTTAAAAATGTATTGAGCAAAAAACATTCCTCAGCTTACAAGAATCCATCAGGCCACTTGAACAAAATCAAAAGCCATACATAGCAATAGGTCATGTGATCGGCCTTCTGCTGGGTATCACATAAATAATTTGACATTTTAATATACTTCTCTTCCAGAAAACTGAACATAGTCGTAACAGCAGAAAATGGGAAAAAGAATATTTCAAGCCATATATACTGTAGAATGCAGATGACAAACAAATTTGAGCTATTCAGACAGAAATCAATGTATAAAGTTATCTCCTTTGTTTTTTTGTTTTGTCATTATTACAACAACGGAAATGTACTGAGGCATGCCTGCATATGGCATATGTATACCTCATCAAACTCTCAAGACACTCTGAAGTGTTTATTGTCAGTCCAAAATATCACAGAATGTTGTGCTTTTAAACTGCTTAAAAGCCTTTTTCATTTGTTTAGGAAAATCTTAAATGTCAAGATTGTTCACTAAAATCATAATGTCAAGTGAATTGCAACCATAGACACTGTGAGAAGAACACAAATTATGGAATAATTTTCATATGTCACGTATGTCCGAAAGGACGAACCGTGGAATGACAGGAGAGCAATAAAGACCCTTTGCGTAGCGGCGAGACGGGGGTTAGCCCGGGCTCAGCTGTTCAGGAGTAGCCGTATAGAAACCTATGCCCTCAGGCCAAGGACAGGAGTGACCTGGTGCTAGGCGTGTCTCAGGGTCACTGAACATCAATGCTGAGCAAGTAGCAGAGCAGAAGCAGGAAATAAATAGGCTACACAACAAGACACACCAGAAAGACATGAATAATCACAGGGAACTAGGAACAGGAGGAAAGTAGAGCGCCCTCTTGGTATACCGGGCATGACAATAATACTAGAATTTTGGGGTTATAGTAACCTATAATTAACCTAGCACATCTTCCCTGAAATCTCACACAAGTAGATGAAAAGGGGAAATGTGCTGAGGTTTGTTTACAGAGCAGTTCTGCTTCATAGAGAACAAAAGTCCTTGTCTGCTTCATAGAGAACAAAAGTCCTTGTTAGATAAATAAGTCAATGTCAGATTGTACAGTTCCATTGCAAAGTAATTAAAATGGCTGCATTAAGGAACTTAGCATCTTATTGACATCAGTGACAATCTTTTCAAGATGAATTAGTAGAGATTTATTTTCAGTTATAAGGCCAATTACAGCTGCTCAAAGTAATTTGTATGTGTCTGACTCGATCATTATTTCTCTATTCTTTGCTCTTCTAATCAAAGATGTGTCTGCAATTTGCTGATGACATCACTAGGCTGTAGGTATGGATGCATTAATGTGGGAGTCTTACAGTCTCATTTGTAATGCAACAGCACAGTTTACAGTCAAGACATAACATCAACCTTAAGTACTTTTATGAAGTTTTGAGAAAACATATAATTTGTACCAAAACACTAAATTAAAATTAAAATTTTAAACACTAAATTAAAATTAAAATTTTAAACTATTACTGCAAAGTAAGTACAGCACAGGCACTCTGTCCATGTAAGTCATATCTGCATTAAAATTTTAGAGACAACATTAGAATTGTCTTTTTAAGACAGCACACTAAGCATCGTAGGTGTCTTCAGTGGCTAGAATGTGAACACAAGTCAAGCTAATGTACTCCTTCATGATGACTGACCAGACACGGTATTGTCTTCATACTGATGTGATTCTACCAACTGAGTAACTGAAAACACCAGCAATGCCTAGTGTGTTGTCTTACAAATACATTAAAAAATTCACCTATAATTCTTAAATATTTCTAGCTGGGGTGATTTGTTTTCTGAGAAGGTATGTAGTTTTGCCAGATGAGCAAGGTCTCATTTCTGTCAGCAAATGTCAGTTTTCTCAACCTTGACTGGCTGGGTTAAGAAAATGGAAAAAGTATTTGGTCATATAATAAGGCTTTAGATAAGGATTTATTTTTGCCCTTATGAACATCAAGAGTGTTTGGAGCACAAGGCAAAACCAAACAAGCAAAAAAGAGAAAAAAAATAGTAGAAATAATTAAATAAAGACAGAGATAAAAACATGGAAAAAAAAAGCAAATACTAATTAAAAGCCCGACTAAACAGATAAGATTTTAGTCTAGGTTTAAAACCTGTAATTTTTCAAATTAGCAGGGGGTAAGTTGATGCTAAACTAAGAACTCAATATTGTTGCAAGCTTGTACAAGCCTAGAGTGGAATTTACCCTGGACATTTCCCTGGAGTAGTTGTAACTCATACTGTGACTGTCAAACAGTGCCATGGGATCTGTAATGACCAGGTGGTCAAGACCACAGTTTAATATCACATCTCAAGGATGGCATTTCTTACAGCACAGTGACCCCTATCATCATATTGAGGAACTTTGGAAATTCTAGTGTGGAGGGAAGAACACCTTATAGCAAGCAACCTGATATTCCCTAGAGGTCTATGATCCCAGTACTGAGCAGCCAAGCCTTGCTTAGCATTCTGAGATTCAACTAGATTAGGCTAGAAGATCTAGTAATGCTGCTGTCAAATTAATATTACATTTAGCCATCACTGACATTTGGGTTGTGGGAGTATGTAACAAGCTTTCCAGCCATGTTGACTTATTGGTCCTCAGTTTAAAATTCTGCAGTGTTCTGATAGACTGAGTAGAACTTGGTTCTGGACTAAATTCATTCTTAAATATTTATGTATCACAAAGAAAATACTTGTCACTAACTACTGAATTAACTGAATTAAAAAACCCTTTTTGTGTTTCTTTTCAGTAAGACATCATTAAAGTGAGGGAATCACTTAATTCAATAAGGATTATTCAAACAGGAATTAGAAAATAGAAGCCATTTATGAAAGAAATACAGACAGAATGTATTTCAACTTATAAATGTTAAACAACCAATCTTAATATATATTTTTTCATTTTTATGAAAAACAACTTCATAACCAGAGTGCTTATGATCTAGAGCCTCATGTAAAGACAAATGTCTGATCTAAATCTCAAACCTCACATAACAAGGCACTACAACATATTTCTAAGTAACACTGATACACACAAATGTAAAAATAAATAAAAGACACAAGGCATCTTTTCTGCATTAATTTTTAGGACTTTATGCTCGTGTTGCTAGGTGACTGACAACCCTTTGAGAACTCAATATCTTTATGTAACAGCATAAAGTCAATAGCATAAAAACAGATGATAAGCATGTCCTGAAGGTAAAGAATAAAGCATCTACATAGCAACAGACTAAAAATATAATTTTTCTTTGTTTGGTGTGATGTTTTCATGATCTCAAAAAAGTGAAGCACAAAGCAATAGTAGAGAGTCTTGATAAAAGATTTACTTAAAAAATCTTAATCTGAAAATACAGAAACATTGAGAAATTGTTAGTGCAATACATTTGTATTGACCAAAACCATAGGGCGTGAACTGAAAGCCCTTCATTAAGGGGTCATGCATTTTTAAAAGAATGATTTGTGATTTTTAATAAATATATATTTTTTGTTTTATCACAAAAGATCACAAAACACTGGATATCAGTTATTATATGGCACTGATTTATAAGCATTAGCATTTTCTGAACTGTTTGCAATTTACAGATTTCAATATATTGTATGCATTTGTTAATGTTGCTTAAAAAAGTGAATGTACAGCATTCAAGGTGAAATACATGCCTTTTGCACTATAGTTTGCTGCAAAACCTTCTATTTATAAAAGCGACTGAACCTAGTAATCTGACTGAACACAGGAAACATAAGAAAGGCTAAAAGGTTTGGCTGATCTTTGTTCATAGTTTTGTCAATAGCTTATTGACTATATACATTTCTATTTAATTTCCTTAAGTTTTTTTTCCCTTCAGAACACTTTCTAAATGTTATGGCAATGTACTCCTGAAGCATTTTCTTTTTTACATTCCTCAAGTTTGCAATATGGTAAAACTAAAACAACAGGATGACAGAGGAAAAGAATTTTGTGACGTACACCTATGCCAACAGTGTCAGTGTATTTATTTAGTCTTATAATTACAAACAAGGATTATGAGAACTCCATAAGTAAAAAGCATGCCAAAAGAATTACTGTTGTGGTAAGAAATATGAATGGGATGCTAGTTTACAAAGGTGTGCTCATATTTTGCACCTGAAAACTAAAACTGGATCTGCAGGAATATCAGCATTTTCTCATGTCATATAAACAGCACATACTTTACATACTGAACACACAGGTATATTAGATATAAACAGGACTAAAGCTGACTTTTCACATGAAGATAAAATAAGTCCATATACATACAATGATGAGTAAAGCTGGCTGGTAGTTGAAAATGTGTTGACTCTTTGTTTATGTATTAGGTTGCCAAAAAATTGAGAAAAAATGGTTTGGGTGATTTCACATTTCTTTATAGATATTGAATCTATATGTAGTTATTTTGTATGGCTTAAATTAAACTTGAATTAAATAGCTTGTTTTTTTAAAAAATAGGGTCTTACTAACATTTTACTGATAAGATGTTAACTTAAAAAAATAAAGCACAAGAGATATTTTCAAGCTATTCAGAATGAAGGGCTGAAGGTGTGAAGGAGTTCTCTACTTTTTTGTATCACTATACTTACTGGCATCCAGAAACCTTTCACGGCCTGCCTCTGTTTCAGGTTAGTTTCTCCATCCAGACTGGCTGTCTCAATGTGGCAGATACCATTTGGGTCCGAGGTGTACAGGAGAAGAATGTCTGCAGGGATGATCTCATTGCAAACAACCTTTACAAAATCGCCAACTCGAACGTTTTTCCAGCATTTTTCAACATAATCTTTCTGTTTCCTTGAGCAAGAAAAGAAAGCACATCAAGATCAACATCAAAACTGGAAACTTTGTTTGGCACATTTAAACATAGGAGGAGAATACATTCTTTGGAATAGAGAAGCCCTTTGCATCAGTATTTATTCCTGTCTTTTTTTTCCCCTTGATGCATGTAAGCACGTACCACTGGAAATACTAAAATGCTGGCTTTGAAGTTGTAAACCTGAAATTCAAATTGGAATTTCAAGATGGAATGATTTCATTTTGAAAACTTAAATCTTTTTAACTTTCTTATGCATTATTTGTACATATCAGATTCATATCTGTTATAGCTTTAGCTGACTGAGAAGTGTCTCTTGGATTTTAGATAACGTTTGTGACACTTCCAACTTCAAAGCAGAGAGGATGTTTGATGAGGTCTGAGGGGTTCCCTTGAGTAGAAAAAAACTGTAAGGTTTACTGTAGTTCTGTACACCTAGGCAAGTTGTGGGTTAATGATTGTAAAGGAGCAGTACAGACACATGCAATATAAGATCACATTAAGACAGGGAGAAACAAGGAGGAGCAGGGCACAGGGAGAAGAGAGAAGAGTCCAGAGGAGGTAGGACTTGAACTTGCGCCAGGGGAGAGCCCCTACTTCATGATCGTCCAAACCAAACCTGACTGGAGCTAAGTATTTGAACCTTGTTAGAGAGAGCATGCTATTCTGTGTTTTAGGAAACTTGGGTTTCCTGGGTAAAAGATAAATCAGTAACGTCTTTCCTGCTTAGGGTGCATTTGTATGGATAGTGATATAGGCTCCCATTTATTTGGTGGCATCCGGGGTGCAGAGAGAGAGATTTTCATTGTATTTAGTTAGAAGGCAGCTCTTGTGTGGCATCTGTAGGCGTATTAAGAGTTATCTTAGTATCAGTCTGGGGTTTTCTGGTTGACCAGAATGTTAGGCCTCTGGAATGCCTTGTTTGTAAATACTGTACATACAGTAACTTGTCTGTTGTATGTTTTGTAGTGTGTAGTGTAGTTTGTGTCATTGTAACAAATATTTGTTTAATCAAGTGTGTCTGGTCAGGGGTTATGAATAATTATTTCACTGATTAAACTGCTCAGTCCATTCCTGATTTTTACCATTTTTCATAACCCCATTTGTAACAATATCATTATATATAGAATATACATACAGACCCTGTGTGTAATGGGCATCAGGAAAACAATAATCTTGGATTTCACCATAAATGAGATCACTTTATTGGCCATATACAATATCTTGCATTAGGAATTTGTCTTTTTGCATACCCTAGCTTGCTCTCCATGAGACACACAGGCAGGGAGAGAGAAGCTTGGGGTCAGAGCACAGTGTCTGCCATTTATACGGTGCCCCTTGAGCAGTTGGGGTTAAGGGCCTTGCTCAGGGGCACAATGGAATAGGATTCCTCTGCCAGCCACAGAATTTGAACAAGCAACCTGCCAGCCATAGGCACAGATCCTCAGCTACAGTGCCACCAATCCACCCTTTATTTACAATAAATAGATTGTAAATCAAAAGACTCTTTGGAAACAGTTTCTGAGGTGTATTTGCTGACCTCCTTTTGTCAGCTGTAGTTAGCTATATTTGTATTTTTAGTATTTTTGACTTCAGCCAAACATTTATTTGATCTTCAGTTTATATGAGCTCTAAAATGTAAGTTTCCCATAGTGAACTGATCCCTTTTAAGGGGTTCTGAACAATCACTGAAGACCAGGATATGCAAAAACAAAACTATTGCAACAGTCTGATGTGCCCCTGTACTGAGCTGAATAACAATTTAAATAGAGCAATCACAAAAAAGCGCCTTAATTTTACTTAGATATAAAACATGAATGAGGCAATATAAAGAAGACCAGGAATATGGAGGTGGAAAACTGTGTAACACAAGTTACTGTATTAACAAAACAAAGGAATTAACTTACTAGGTCAGATATCTACAGTGTAACACAGCAGCTACTACACATATTGTTACCTTTGGTGTTTCAGATAGCATGCTCTTTAAGTTGAATTATTTGATATGCATAACTTAGAGAATCCCTTTAGCAAGTGTGCTTTTTTTAAAAAAAAATAGAGAATGCCACAATATCTAAATAAAGCAATCAATCTCTTAGGAATCATCTGATAAATAGTCTGGTGTTGATATTCCCTAATGATATATCACTCATCAAAGAGGTCACTGTCACATCAGATACAAAAGAAATCTAGACTTCCTTAAAGCTTCCTAAGCCTACTTTTGTTATTAAAATGACCTCCTGGATATTGAACACACAAAGGCTGACATATGAACCTTGCTGCACAATCTAGAAGGAACTGATTAGTTGACAAGAAGGGCCATACTGCATTCTGCTCATGTGGCTTTCTCAAGCACAAACCACCTCATTATACAAGACTGCCTCGGGCAGCATCTCTGTAGTAGAGAGAGACTGTTCCCCTTTTCTGTGATTTTGGCACTGTTTTGTTGCAGCCTATTAGTTCCAATTAATTTTCATTTTAATGAAGCCTCACAGCTTGCAAACCATTATTCAACACTTACACAAGTAGCGGGTTCAATCATAGTTTTTTTTCTTCAAAATTTAAGTAAGAGAATTTATATAAACCATCTGTCCCTCTGATCACTTTGGTGGACTTACAGTGCTGACAGCCAGATTCCTTTCATTTGCAGCCTGACAAATGGAAAAAAGTACCAATTTAACTAATGCAAAATGAAACACTCACAAGTATTTTCATTATGTGCCCCTTTCTAGAGTACAATTGTGAAAAAACAAAAAATAAAATGGAAATATAATTGAAGCACAATGAAGAACACTTTTCCAGGGAAAATGTGCAAAAAATACTGAGTAGAATCATTTCTGTTTTAAAAGTAACAATGTTATACAAACAGATTAAAGTTTGATGAGGGGGTTGACACAGGTACCCTCGAACGTAATAAACAAGCTCATTAAAAAAGGAGAATACCTAAACATAGTAAAACAAGGGTCCAGGATAAGAAGTCAAATTAGGAAGTACATCTTTACACAGTTGTGTGCTGCTCAATTGACAGAAAATTAAAGATGAATAGTTTCAATATTTAATTCTGTTGCATGCTGGTCTCTGGATAAGCACAATCCAAGTCTGTTACAAAAAGAATCTGACCTTTTGCCAGGAAGACAAGTCACTCACAATTCCCAGAGAAGTTAATTTTTGATACAGAAAAAAACAACTTTAGAAGGTCCTTAAATTCAAATTGATTTAACTTGCATATTTACAAATCCCTAAATGGCTAAGCTGACCATGCCTTGTCAATGGATTCTTCGAGTGTGTTTTTAGGTTCTCTGCTCAATAGCCCCTATGGGTAAGGTGCATCAAGACACATGGCTGAAAACCGCTGACCTCTCACAAGCAATAGACGGTACAGTTTCTACCCAGAATACAACTCAGAAAGATTAAGAGATGGAGGAGTTTAGAAAGTTAATGTTCTTCATTTTTGCATTGGTCCCCAAACACTAGGCATTTAAGATGTGCAAAAAAATAAAACACTTCTCAGAAACTGCAAATGGAATTTTGAAGCAGAACTGAAAGCCAGCAGCACTTGTAGTCATACATGTAAAACCTGAAAGGGTGGATAGTTCTTGACTCCAGAGTGTTCTTAACCATAGCTTCCATGAAACCTCATAATGACAACTGTTTTAGCATTGCGCATTGAGAAACTACAGTATCCTGAGGCACCAGCACGTTCTTTGGGTTTTCCTGTAGAATGTTTTATGAAATTCTTACGCCAATAAATAAGACTAAATTATTTAAAAATGCATAGCATAGATGACTTAGGTAAAACTTGTTATAACTCTGTGTCAATGAATAATGTATTTAAATCACATGAAATTTCCCCATAATAGCAATTACTATTATAGGAATGACTTGCAAGAATAAGACAGTATAGGCAGAATTCTGCACCGTTTATCATTTATTCATATTGTTGTACAATTATAGAAGAAGAAAGTGGTTACCAACATTTATTTTAGAAGCATTGCAATTAACCTAATTCTTTACTCATCACTTTGGAAGGCAGAAATAATATATGCTTCAATTTTATTACAAATAAGACAACACTTTCTGAAACTGCAGTTTCAGTAAGTCCAAATACATATTATACACCACTTGTTTACTCTTCTATATGGATATTTATATTAATTGAATTTTTAAATCATACTTTACTCATCTATTTACCATAAACAATGACATTTACAAAAACAGCATTTTAGTTAAAAGGCTTCCATGATATAGCCAATTAGGATTTATCCTTCATAACTGACAATGTGATAACCTTTCAAATACATTCCAACACGTCTGTCAAGTGCCCAGTGAATTATGCTATACAGTACATACTGTAGATTACTGTTTATTTGGCAATGAAGCACCTCTCATTTTTTTTATTTGAAAGTCTATCCATTTGTCACAATATGTGCACTATATGTGCAAGGTTCAGGTGATTTGTAATCAGATTAAGGGGTCACCTTCTCCACTACGGACACAGGCAATGACATACCAATGCAGAGAGATTAATATGGACCTGTGTGATTCAACAGCAGTAGACGCCAAAGAGGTTTATATGGCTTTATAAGAACAAGTGGATTACAGACCTACAGTATGTGGGCAATTTGAGGCTACAGAAAACGGCGAACTGCTCACACTTCACTGAGTCAGAAGGTGAGAAAATGAATTATTTCATAGGTTATCATTTCAAAATAATGATATCAGGGCAAAATCGCCTTTGCCAGCCAGTTGAGCAGATGGGCAAAGGAATACAATTATATCCAGCTTGAAATGGCTTCTCATACATGTATCAAAGTATTTTGAATATGACTAATGACTCATCTTGTTAACAGACTAATAAAAAAAACAATAGCTGTGGTCTAATAAACAACCTGCCATTTAATTAGAAATCAGACTCCCAGAGAACATATTGTAACGTTTATGACCGACATTGCAGGTTGTGCGAGCCAGCTTACCAGCCCTGCGACGTCACCGCCCTTCCCTGTGAATAGCAGGGACTGCAGCCGTCGGGCTGACAGGAGACTTCACTTTAGGTCAACTGGCTGGGTCCCTGTTGAGAGGCCCGGGTTCGAGTCTCCAGTAGTGAAGAGGGCACATACCCACATGAACCCATGAGTGCTACAATATCTTCCATGTAAAACAGGGATAAAATATAATGTCACACTGTCACAGTGAGACGGATTGAAGTTGTACAGTCCTCACTATGGGAGAAGTGTAAGCTACAACCATTTGATCCACCATGCCAACTTACTGGTGTGATGAAATGTCTAGTAATTGATTGAAATGAGGTGACAGGTGACTTTTAAACATGGGATAAAAAAAAACAACTCTCTGAGTACTTATTGTACAACATCTAACAAATGCATTCTGTGAACCACTGTGAGTACTATGTCTAGGAATTCCATATTCATTTAAATAATCATCATCATAATCATACGAATATTTTTTATAATTATTTTAATCTCCAAAGGCTCCCAAAGCACTAGTCATAGTGGAAAACTCTTAATCCAACACCGAAGCACAAAGACTCTCAATAAGACTTACTACACAACAGATCACATGATGAAGGGAGAAACAACTTATTTAATTCATTGATAGAATTATTGGAGAATTTAGGATAGGCCACACCGTGCAAGCCCAAAGTGGAATTTAGCCAGAACACCAGGATTAACACCTCTAGTTTTGGGATCTTTAATCACCAAACAGTCAGTTTAATTTCACATTTCAAGTATTAGTGTACATAAGCAAAACAAAAAAAGAATAATTTGTAACATTAAATTCATACTCCAAGTACTGTTTATTAATTATGAGAAATTGTTTGATAGGAAACAAATACAGTGCTAAATGGCAGCATAAACAGTAAATCAAATGCCAAGCCATAGAGCCAAATCAGATTACAGATTTAGATTTTGGCATGTTCCCAAATGGGCTTGGCTATAAAAAATTCAAATAAAGTATGCAAACATTTTGAAATAAGCTTATATTTAATAAAGTAACAACCTGCTGGATTGTCATTCTCTTTGTTGTGAAGCAGTTGCTAGGTATCATCTTAATTTATAGATTTTTCATCTTACCCTTCCCCCCATTTTTCTAACAGAACTATTTTATTACCCTTTTCTAACCACTGCTTCCAATTCAGGGTCATGGAGGAGCCAGAACTTATGCCAGCAAGCAATGGGCCCAAGGCAGAATACACCCTTGATAGGACGACAGTCCATCACAGGGCACATACAGACACAAACCCACACATACTTACACCACGGCTGGTGTTCCTAGAAACCAATTAACCTACCAGTTTGTTTTTGGACTTTGGGAGGAAGCCGGAGCATAAAGAGGTAACCTACATAGAACATACAGGACAAACTGCATGCAGATAGCACCCCAGGTCCAGAATTGAACCCAGGGCCCAATCACTGCGACGCAGCCATGCCACCCCTATTTTATTATATGAGCAATGAGACAAATGATCTACATGTTTATGATGGGACTGCTAAAAAAAGAAAAAAAGAAACATGGTTATTTCCTGTTACAGAGCAAGTTATGGAAAACAGACTCTCCTGGTTATAAATTTTTACAAGGCTTATAGTTGACAGACTTGCCAGGCCCTTGAGTGAATCAGCATATTGCAACATTTTAAATTTAATGTGTCTGTCTTAAATTAATCTTCTAGATCTCACGGAACTTAATTTTTTGCCATGAATTTTAAAAATCCAATGTCTAAGGAAGGAGCACATTATCATTCTTTAGTCATTTCATAAGCGCAGCTGTAAACTCCTGAGATTATGGTTATAGTAAATACTTAAACAGAGCTACAAGTAACAAAGTACTTTGACCTTTTCTGAAGTAAAATGAGGAAATTCATGTCTGGTTTTCAATGAGAAACAGCTCAAGTAATTACTTTTATCTATGTACTGTACAGTAGAATTTATCCCACTGTGAAAGGAAATGTTTTAATAAAACTCATTAGGAAATGAGGACAGGTATCCAAAGTCTCCTCACACCAGCATACATTTTTATCTAAGAGATCTCTTTGTGATATTTACTGTATTTCTTCACATTTTTTAATTAAATTAAGGAATATAATATTATTATATAAATTTGATAACAAAAAAGTATGAATCTGACACTGCAAAATCCCCATTATAGCTTGTGGGGAAAAAAACAATTTTTAGCATTTATAAAGGCCACAAAAATGTTTTTAATCTCATAATATTCAAGAGTAAAAATGCACTAGAAATAATCGTTAAAAAAGGTCTAAACAAAACATCCAGGTCAAGGAATAGATTCTTTGCTAAGAGTGGATTGAAAGAATGATGATTATCACATTTTGTAGGATATAGCTTGAGGTTTGAGATTTATTCTTCCTAACTTCCCCCATCCTCCCCCCCTCCCCCCATCCACACAAAAAAATACTGCGGTTTACATGCCTGATTCTTACCCAAGAGAAAATATATGCAATACGTATACTATATTTCCATTTTTATTGCAGTTTAGCATCTGAGAATAAAGGGCTGTGCACTGGATGTTCTTCCATTTTTAGATATCTACCTCAATGTAGCATCCACCTTAAATCTGATCTGTTAAAGTAACAAGATATTACTGTTATGCTCAATACTGTACTTTCTACATTCCTGGTGACTTAATTCAGGAACAAGAAACAAACAAGTATTTTTTTTCTGACAGGTGTTCAATGGAAAGTAAGACAAAAGGCTTTGTAAGAACTTGTTAAAACTTCATTGAATTACTATGATTAAGATACTAGGATGTTTCCATTTCAGTACTGAAAGTCCTACTACCCGATTCATACACAATACTGTATAGTACACTTTCAGTTTCCAGCTGGCAAACCATGTCCACAGGAATGTAAATACTGCAGGCACTTGAACAGTACTCATTTATTAATGTTTGGGAATGAGAAATAATTAGAACAAAGTCATTTAAAAATAATTAACAGTTGTGCCTCATATTTCTTATTTATTTTTTACTTCAGATGATGGTTTAATTCTTAGGAAACTCCGTCTGGAGTCTGAAGAGCTTTTTATACACCTCATTATTTTGCTGCATTTCTCTCCTACTTGTATGAATTTTCCATTGTGAATGTGCTGTGATATGACTAAGTTGAACAGGTAAAGGAGGAGTACACTGATTTAAAAGTCTGTATCAGAAGCACGAGGTCACTCTGCCACTTCAACAGTTACTGTGTTTACCTGCTGTAGATGAGACACGCTGTATTGTTCAACTCTTTGTCAGTTTGATATCTCCTGAAGTCTTCCCAGGCATCCTTTATGGCGGTGAGAGCCAATATGACGCATATAGGAATAAGTGCAATTCCTGGTTGAAATGCATTCACTACAGGCACAAAATTCAAGAAAGCAATTCCTATAAAGTACACATTGGCGACACGGTGAAACTGCTCAAAAAGGTTCTTGGGTATGAAAGACCACAAAGTGTATTTAGTGGTCTTGATGGCATTGCCAGCATATTGGCAGTTAGGTTGGTGCCTTTTCTTGCAATCTTCATATGGCAAGTTGGATACCAAAACTCGAACCTTTTCTTCATTCCTTTTATTCTTCCTCCATCCCCTTATTCGAAGGCTGTCAGGAAGCAATGAAGCCATAGCCACCCTGTCTCTTCAAAAGCTAGTCCTTTTGGTGACAGCTCACATAGCCTGTCAAGTCAATAGTACTGCAGCAGCCCAGCGTGGGTGACAACCAGCTCCAAAAACTTCTTTCTGAAGTAACTATGTAAAGAGGAAATCACAACTGTCTCCCGCACCTGTCTGTGACTGAAATGTGAAACCAGGTATGATCCAATTAGCTTACTCCGTCTTACACCTGTGATCGGTTGTCACTGGGTCCTAGCTCCTTACCGGTTATAGGGTGGAACTGTACTACACTACCTGTAACCCTCAAGGGAAAAATCCTTTAGGATATAGAGGGGGAAAAAGCAGAGATGTAATAGAAAATATTTCAGCAACATTTCCTTCCAATTTCACTCATACACCACAGTGCTTTGTTTAAATAATTATTGACTGTAACTTAATCTGTTTCAGACCCATCTTGACCTGAAGTCATTGATTGTTTAAAGCCAACCCCCCAGAGAGCTTCATGTAAAGCATACAATAACAACACGCATGTACATTCCCAGGGTCTTTAAAATAGTACTAATCCATCCATCCATTTTCTCACTGTTTCGTCCAATTCAGGTTTGCAAGGGAACGAAAACCTATTTTGGCAAACAACAAGCACAAGGTGGGGTACATCCTGGACAGTCTAATACAACTTACATGTTACAATACATGTTTCTATTTTCTTGGATGTTAAAAAGTAAAATTCTATATGATGTGAGGAACTGGACGGTAAAAAAATCAGTAGCACAACCACAACCATTCATGGTGTAAACAGAATTCACAAATTTACTTTGTAGTCCGAACCCTGAGCGCTACCTACCAGGTTATTTGTTCGTATTAAAAATGAGATTATGGTCAAGGTTGATGTAAGGATTATTTTTAGGGTTAAGATGAAGGCTATGGTCAGATTTAAGGTTGAATTTAATATAATTTTAAACATTGTCAAGTAAACCAGGAAGGAAGGCAGGAAGCTTTTTAAACAAGGCAATCTTTCACAAAATCTCAATCATGATGGTTCTGTCACTTTAAACATGTATCTACTGTAGGAATAGTGTATAAAACATCATATCTTACAGTAGCAAAATTCAAAATTGATGGAAATCACAGTGAATAAGATCACCAAGCACATACTTGTAGTATGGATTCTGATGTTGTTCTTAGCTCCCACTTGGAAACTATTTAAATACTGTGCCCAGTACAGATGACCATATCATATAACTAAGATTTTAAACACTTTAATTAAACAAAAGCAAGCTCATTGCAAAAAAATAAATAAATCTCAAACCTAAGAGCTCATCACTTTCATTCTTTTTCTTGGGTATCTGCAATACATATTTCAAAAACAGTTTCATTTTTATCATTAAGATTACAAAAAATGTATAAAGGAGATTGTTTATTTTCTTAAATGGCAAGCAAAAAATATTACATTGATCAGCTGTGTTAATATTTGAGAAATGTATCCAGTATTTTAGAATATATATTTTATGACTCACAACAAATGTCAAGATGAGATTTAATTAAATAAATAAAGATTTTCTACAAGAAAAGTCACAAATGTGTGTATGGTAAATGCCAAATGTTGAATTAGCATCAATGAGTGTTACTGTCTTACCAATGAAGCACAATGTGCCAGTGTTATCCTCCATTAGTCCAATAAAAACATTTATCTTCTCTGACACTGATCTCTGTCTGAAATGCACAGTTTTATCCATACTGTAATACTCAAATTAATTTCACCATATTGTCTCAACAGTGCCCCATTGCACACCCATACTCACAAAGATATATATAAATGAAAGTCAAGAGTGATCTAAATGTGCTATATATCAAACAAATGAACATTTGTTTTCTGCTAGATTGTTTTGAAGACACACATAAATCAACAGATGGCTTGGCAGATGCTCAAAGAGGTTTTATGGGCCTCTTTGCAGTTACATACTAAGCTGTTTTGTTAGCTAAAACCTAGGTAAAAATGGAGTTTTACATTTAAGTGTTTCATGAATTTTAGATTAATTAATAGATAAAATTGCTTATACAGTGCCTTGCGAAAGTATTCGGCCCCCTTGAACTTTTCAACCTTTTGCCACATTTCAGGCTTCAAACATAAAGATATAAATTTTTTATT